TTATAAATTTTTTTTATATAATTTTTATAATTTTAATTTTTATAATTTATATAATAACAAAAAAAACAGTCGTCTGCTCGCCGATCACGGACGTGCACGGTCGCGTCCTACCGGCGATCGCGTACGTACACGGTCGCGTCCCACCAGCGATCGCAGACGTGCACGGTCGCGTCCTACCGACGATCGAGGTCGTGCACAGTCACGTCTATCGGTGGTTGCGACCGGAACCTTGCACGTCCGGTTTTGTCTGTCGGACGGCAACATATTTTTTTTTAGTTTCTAGTAAAAATGTCAGGGGCAAAATTGTTCAAGGGGGCGGTAAGTAGTAAAGGGAGGGGGGAAGGGGAGCGCGGTATTTAGCAATTCAGATAAGAATAAAACTTTTAAATCACTCTTTTTATGGGTCCCACATGTTTTTCACTTACATTTAACTAAGGGTGTTGCTAAATACCGTACCCCTTTTACTAAATACCGCACCTGAAAAAGACAGTTTTGCCCTTTTCAATTTTTAAAATATTTTTTTTTTCTGGTGGCCGGACGCTAATTGCGGCCGCAAATCGCATGGCCGGCCGCTAATAGCGGCAACCACTGGCTCGGTCGCACCGTTAATTGCGGCCGCAACTCGCTCAACCGCACCGTAATTGCGGCCGCCTCTCGGCCAGCCGGCCGTTAATTGCGGCCGACCCAATTTTTATTTATTTATTTTTTATAATTTAAATATTTTAAAATATAATTTTTTATTATTATCAAATATCAAAGAAACCAATTAATAATTATTAATGCAAGTTGCTACAATATTTATAGTCATTCCTTGCCTTTCATTGGACTTTCTCATCCAATGTGAGATAATTGTAAATCAAATGTTTCAGTCTCCCAACCTTTTATAGCCACTTTTGGCCTTTATTATTGTGTATGTAATCGATGTGGGATTGTCCCATGCCTCTAGCATTTAACAGTTATTTTTTACATTCTTTTTTGCTTTCAAAGTCAACGTGGGACTAAATGATCCCTATTTTAACACACTTTCACTATGTATGTTAGGATGAATATCACATTATCATTATTAAACTTATTATTATCTTAAATTGATAAATGATTAAATTTAACTAAATGAACATGAAATATGGAAAAACATTATGAGTTTTTTACATAATAAAAGAAAATGCGCTTATCATCCTACTTTTATTTTTTTAATAAATGATATAATTTTTATATTTGTTAAATATTTAGAAAAATATATAATTTACTACTATTATTATTATTAAATATTTTATTTATCAATAAATGTGTTATTTGTAATTAATTAATTAATATATATATATATATATATATTAGTGAAATTATAATTAGTATTGTAATATAAGTTGAAAAAGCGTATAATTTATTAATTTAGTAGTTTGTATAATTATATAATCAAAAAATATTATTTTATTATTATATATTAATTACATTTTTACATTAAAAAAGTATATATTTTATAATATATTATATATAATATATTAATCATAACTAATATATTATATTAGTTATAATTATAACTAACATATATACTTAAGTAACATATTTAATGTATAATAATAAATTATATAATTTTTAAATTATTAAAACATATATAAATTATTATTTTATAATCAAATATTTATTTTTTATATAAATTATATTAGAATTTAGATATAATGTTATAAATTAGAATTTATTATCTTGTAGTTAAAATTTAGAGTCTTAGAAAATTAACGTATAAACACGACCGAATATCATAATATATCAAGCGCCCCCCTCCCATCTT